AGGGGGGGGGGGGGCAAGAGGAAAAATCCCTAATTTTGATAAAGAAAAATTGGCATTGTTGGATCTCAAAAAATAAAAGATGGGTTTTTTCATTCATCCATTTTCATTTAAATTTTTTGTGGTGAAATTTTGGAGTGAAGAGAGAATCTATCTGGTTATTGAAGAACAGAAGCAGAACAAAAGCTCTCTCGCACACAAAAACAAAATAAAGCAGAAAGAAAGCGATGAGTTGCAATAATAGTAATATTTAATGATTGCGGTAAAATCTACAGAGAATTAATGGTTAAAAAATAATTTAATATGTGAGGGTATTTGTCATTTTGTGTTTGTGTCTTTTCTTATTCTCCTAGTTGTTAAACAAGACGGGCCTGCCGGGGTGGCCTACATATACATAAAAATAATAGAGAACGAATTTATTCAATGTAACCTAATTAAAAACTTTTATTCACATGAGACTTCTAGATAAATCAAATCAATTTTTTTATACATTTTTAAAAAATAATATTATTTTAATTTTAAAAAAAAAATATTAACTTAAGTTAATTGTTAAGATTATTCCCGAGCTGAATTTAATAATTATATTTATTATACTTATTCTATGTCCATTGAGACATGATTCATATTTAAAAATTGTTATCATATACAATCTGCCTTGATGACTTGATTAATATTATCATCTAACTATGGCCAAGATTAAAAAATAATCTAGTAGGATTTGAAATGTTTTTACTTTTTTAAAAAAATTTAAAATGATATTGTTTTATTTTAAAATAATAAAATGAAATAAAATTATTTTAATTTATCAAAATTAACATAGATTAATATACTAAATTCATAACTTAAAACATGAGCTGAATAACTTAAATTTAAAGTTTTAAATACTCTTTATGTAAGTTTTCTTGTATTGAAACTAAATATTTTCTTGATTTGGTATTAGATTGGTTACCCACACTAAGGTTTTACATTGATTAGGATTTCTTCTCTCACAACATCTAATTGAATATGAGCTAGAGCATATTAACGGGGGATATAAGTTTACTAATTACTTATTTAAATGATAAACCAAATTGTGCAGTAATAAATCATCAAAAACAAATTTTCAAATAATTAAATACAAGCATTTATCAAAACTTAATGATTTCTTCCTAAAAAAAAGGTTATATACATATCACTAACATATTCAATGTTATTATACAATTGCTCAGGATCCTTTTTTTTTAATATTATCTTAATTTTAAATTTTAAAAATTATCATTCAAAAAAAAATAGCATGTCTATAAATCTATTGGAGAAAAAAGATTGATCTAAATACATAAAAACTACCTAATCACTTGAAGATTAAAAAAAAAAGAAGCAAATATATCAATCTATGATCATTGCTAAGCACACCAGTCTAGGTTAGTTTAAAACCTAATTCCAATTAACTTTTATTTCAAATAACTTTGAATATAGATTTACTCAAACACATGTGAGATTAATGGAATTAATTTTAATTAAAAAAAAATTTATTTTTTATTTTTATTTAAAACAATACTATTTAAAAGATATCACATGAATGGATGCAGTGACTCACTTTTAATCCAGTAATTTAAGTTTTAAATAAACTAAGCATGATATAAATTTATTTTTAACATTAATTAAGATTAATAATGTGGTACGTAGAATTATATATGTTACAATCACCCAATTATCAAAATACTTGATAATTTTTTTTTATTACAGCTTTAATATACCCTCTACATAAGAGCTACTTCAAAGCACAAGAAATTTGATGATATTGTGATTTTGAGAAATGTAGTTCAATTGGTTAAGTTTTAAATTTATTTTTTAGAAATTACTAGTTCAAATTTCATAAACCATAAAGTTATTAAAGATTCATATAGTTATTAATTTTAAAATCTGTAGAATTAATTAAAATATATATAAATTAGTTCGGACATTCATATTAATAAAAAAAAAAATTATGATATCACTAAGGAAAGAGAGTTCTTGAAGTTCTTGAAACCATTGAATTTGTTTGAATGCTTGTAATTAGAAAAAGGGGGGAAGGGATTGGCTCCCATGCTTAAGACTTGAAGTAGCACTTCAAGGTCGCAGATTCAAATTATGAAAAAAGATTGCACTGGATTTAGGGATGAGGGAGACAACTTTCATTGTGTGTGCACGCAAGCATGTAGTTTAAAAGATTTACTAAATTTTCTGTACTTGTTTTTTCTCCTTTTATAAAAGTGTCTTGCTCAGCATTATGATAGATTTTATTTTTTATTTAAAAAAAAATATTAAATTATTTTTTTATCTTTTCAAGTGTTTTTCATGGTTTTAATATGCTAATTTTAAAAATAAAATAAAATTAAAAAATATTTTAATGTATTTTTAATTTAAAAATATCTCTATTTCATATACACACAAGTTCATGATGTAACCATGAATAAATTCTGACGGGCCCTTGGCTAAAAAATAAAGAAAAATAGCTTACAAAAGTGTATTCATTAACGAGAGATGTGATCAAACATGGAAGTTGATTCTTTTGAACTGAAGGGTGATTAAGTGATGTGTTAGTGGGCTCATTGATGAATGAGCAATCATTGGTGGATAACCACTACATGATTAAAGAGATCACAAGGGTTTCCCATTTTTTTTATTTTTTTTTTTTACAAAAAAAGAAGAAGAAATGATTAAATAACCAATAAAAAAAAAAACAGAGTGAAGATATTGTTTTATTTGAATCATTTTATCCCATTCGCTCGGATGCAAATAAATCATCTTTAATAAGAACATCCTGGATATCTTCCTTTTTAAAAAAATTAAATATAGTTATTAAATTCAATTAGAGAATTAATTAAATATAAAACCGTCGGATGGAACTTGATAAAATTAAAGACTGCAATGTCCACCTCCTGTCTCAAAGGAGTTTTTATTAAGCAATGAGGTCTGGTGGTTAGAAGACAAGAGGAGACCCTGACGAGGCCCCTCCTGAAGTACGAGATTCCAATTTAATGATTGGACCGAGAGACTTCTTGGCAAGCAATGTCCCTCTTACAATCATTACATTGAACCTTCATCAATGGTGATTTTAGTTTCTGTGTAAAAGAAGCATGCATGTGGTAGTAACATGCATCTACTTAGCTGACTTTCATTTCTTCCTTATTGTCTATTTAAAGCTGGTTAAAATTTATTTTTTTATTGTTTAAAATTATTTTGTTATATATTTTTAAATTATTTTTGATATCAAAAGTAAATTTTAAAAAATAAAAAAATATTATTTTAATATATTTATAAATAAAAAAATACTTTGAAAAAAAATCACTACTATACCTTTAAATATTTTTTTATTAATAAAACTGTAGTTATTAAATCAGATTCGCAAATCACCTAGTCATATTCATGTCTCTCCATTAACTTGGTTAACCTGCAACATAATTAACCTAATCTAAAAACAAGGAGTTCAAATAAAAAGAAGAAACGGTATCATTTTAAATAAAAATAATAAATCTAAATCTAGGGGTTGGCTTCAATCAAATCTACCAACTATTGATTACATGATGCTGCTCCAGTAACATTGCACATTGCAAGTTTAGCTCAAGAACATTGTTCATGCATGCATGCATCCCATTCAAGCCAGAAGATATGTACGCTCACAAGGGTTTTTGTCAAAGCTCGGAGAAAAAAGGTAAGAGGTTTGTGTGCAAGGGTTGGTCGCTTCACCCAAGGTCTTCGAAAGGTTTGAAATTGTAGCTGATGAATTACGATATTCTTCAGTATATTACAAATCAAAGTTCAAATGTTAATGAAACTATAGCATCAAAGAAAAATGTTATTGTCAGCAAGCTCCTAATTTCTCCTGTACAGGTTATCTGCTACTCTTTGACTTGCTACCTCTGAGCTTAGCTGTGAAGACAACTGCTTACAAATAGCAATAACATTGTGTACGCAACAACCTCAACATCCATCCAAATAGTAACACCATAACCCAAAAAAAAAAAAAAAACCACAAATGAAGAGAAGAGTGGCGGTGGTGATGATGCACTCAAGACTGTCATCCTTGAATGCGTTCCTAATTGCTATCTATGATTTTTGAAAACCTAGGAGTATCAAAACTGGTGTTCAACTGCATCCCACAAGTAAACAGAAATTTCTAGAAAAGCCTAGATGTTTGACATTAAGTTCAACATGTTTTTCATTAAAATTTGAATTTGTTTTCTTTAAATTAATTTTTTTAGTATTTTTGAATTGTTTTGATGTCCTAATATCAAAAATAAATTTTAAAAAATAAAAAAATAAAATATTTTGATGTATTTCCGAATGAAAAACAATTTAAAAAACTACTACTACACTTCCAAACACCTCCTTAACCCTCGGTAGCCTTACTCAAGCACTAGCCAGGAGCATGAACATGGAAACTGTGCATCTCCTTGTGAATATATGAAGTGGAGAAGCAGAATATTTTCCTGCATTAAGATGCTCCCCAGGGCATCAAGGAGTTTTGTGAAGGCTCTCTATTGCAAGGCGTATCAGCCGCAATAGCCCCTCTACATCATGGAAACCTATATCAAGAACTTTCTTAATGGAAGAAATACCCTCAGTATTGCCTGTCTCTGCAAGAATTATTTCAGCAGCTGCAAAGGCAGCCTGGGATTTCCTTGAGGCTTCCATTGCAAGGTTTACATCTTCTGCCTGGAACAAGTTGCATATAATATAAGCATCGTACCTAAATTATGGTACTGCGCAAGATGCAGTATAAAAGGAATGCTAGACCGCATCACGAGTAGAGGGGAAAAATATGCAACAATGAGAAATGAAAGAAAGTGAAATGCCCTATCTACACTGGAGCATCAGGGAATAATGACTCCCTGATCATTCCTCCTGGCTATTTTTGAAAGTTGCATCAGCTGTTGCAAATACCAATCGTCTGGATTAAAAGAACAAAAACCAAGATAATTTTTGTTG